ATGGTGGGTGCTCCCGTGTCATGGATGCTGCAGGCTTTGCATCCCGGCTGGCGGTGCCGGCCGGCGGCAGCTCGGCCTCTCCTGCCCCCTGCTCCTGGCTGGAGCGGTTGGGCTTCGCGCCGTGGGCTCGGGATGCCCCGTTGCTTGGAGACGAGAGGTGGTGCTTTGCAGCCAGATAACGTTGCCAGGGGAACCGGGCCCTGAATTCCCCTTTTTTCCTGTTGCTGGGGGCTTGTTGGGTGGGCGAGAGGCCCGAGGGCTGCGCGCTCCGAGGCTGAGCGCGCAGTGGAAGCTTTTTGTTCCAGTCCCTCCACTGTTTCCTCTTTTGGCAAAAAATACCCCTTTTCCTGTACTCTGCCCCATTGCTCCATGATCGTTCCCCAGCTACCCAAATTTTTAATTCCTCAGTACTTTGTTACCAGGAGCTGGCCAGCAAGTCCCGACCTTCCCTACAAGGAGCAGGTCAGGGAACCGGGACAGCAAGAAGGAGCCCGCGGCGCTGCCCTGAGCTGCAAACCCGCTCCAGGAGGGACGGATCCAGGAGCAATGAAGGCTGCTCCCATAGCTCATCCCGAGGAAGCCGGGTGCCTGCAGCAAGGCACATCAGGTGGCACAGGGATTTGGAGCAGGCTTGTTAGCAGCTTCAGCTGGGGGAAAAACTGAAAGGTTTGGCTAAACGCCGCGGTGCCGGGCGGCAGGAACCAGCCGGCTGCCTTCCCAAGGTGAGGATTTGGCTGGTGGCAGCGCTGGCAGGGAGAACCACGCGCTTGGATCCGGACCCACCTGGGTGCTTTCTGTCTTCATGGCTTTCTGCGGTTTTAATCATTTTTAGTGTTCTCTTATGTGTCTCCTGCTTTACGACTGTCTGGGCCGGCGCCGCGGCTTGGGCTGATGGTGCTTTGCACAGCGCGGAGCGCGCGGCGCCGGCACTGGGAAAGCAGGAAAAGAGAGAAGGAGCCGGGCTGGAGACACGACGCGAAGCCGGGCTGTTCCTGCTCGCCTGGGATGGGAATCCCGGCCTCCCAAGGGAAGTCTGCGTGCGGTACCGCGTCTCCAGTACAGAGCAAAATGATCATCCCTCTGAACGCTCCTTGATGATCCGTTGCGGGTTTGTAAC